TAATGCATCTTTCCATTAAAGTTTTATTTAGAAAAAACAGAATCACACTCGAAAGAGCTTATAAACAGATTGCATCTCTTACAGCGTGGCCTTGTCAGAAAAAGCGTAGTTCGCGAATATTTGCTAACGGAACAATTTCTTATCAGAGTTGAGCTAGGTTGAGATAATGAGAGCGATGTAATACGTTCAACGGCGAAATATAATACGCTCGGCATAAGCATAGGTTTTCGATGACACTTCGATACACACAATACTACCCCCCCTCTCACCTCTTATTTAAATTAACTGTAATTTCACTGTAATTTCTTTTAAATTTTTTACATAGCGTATAATAAGTCATTCACTTTAATTAATTATTCTCATTGTTATTGTTAATTTTTTATTTTGAAATATTACAGAGTATTTATATATTGTTCACCTCGTGCAACTTTAATTATGCAAGAACAGTAGATGAAAGAAACGGAGTATTGTGCGCTTGACATTTTGCCGGTTCAGTATTTTCTGCAAGCTGGCGCCGCTGACATTCGATGCATTTATCTTCGTCACAGCGCCCAAGAAACAATATTTACCGAGTCGCGAGATAAAGAGCCGCGGTTCGTGCGACGGACTGCAATAATAAACTATCGCGCCGATGTAACGCTTAGCGTATTCGAGTATTCGACGAAATGATAATATTCGGGTCGTTCAACCGTCTCGTGCATCTCAGAGAGAGAAAGAATTCACGAAGCTGCGAGAGTTATGTAAAAATAAACGATACGCGCATGCTGGGTACGTTTCCGCAACGTTTACAGTATAAAACAGTAAACGTTTTAATTACCTGGAAAATCAAAATGGATAATGGGTGCGGATTTATGACATGAAATTGCATTGCCGATTAAAGCGGGGAGCACAGACTCTTGCATAACACACAAGGCATCACACATAAGGCATAAGAAATTCAACCAATCAGAGTTCTTTATTTCTTTATGGAAGAAAACAAGGACTTTAAGTGGTACATTTTCTTATGTATTACGTGTTATGCGTTATACAAAAATTTTTGTGCTCCCCGCTTTAAGGTCGGCCGGGGAAAAATAATACATTTTGAAAAAAAATACAGTGCACCGTAAATTGTCGCTGTTAGCAGCAGACTTCGAATACATGAGAGATCGTATCGTTATTAGGTACCTTACGAACATTGACCGCTTTTTATGTGTACATAAGTGAATAATAACGTGATGAGACGAGTATAAATAAATACTAGCGAAGGATGTTGAAAAAATAGCAACTGTAACTCTATTTAAAAATTATTGTAGAACATAGAATTCTGCTGGAAACTAACGAGAAATGTCGCTGGAATTGCAACAAATTATCTCTTATAAAAAAGAATTTAAATTATCCCTTATATTTAAAGTTTATTAATATTAGTAATTGCTGGAATTTATTTTCAATTTACATACATTCGTAAAACTGGAGCAATACTAACGGAAACTATAGTCAAAGTGGAAATATTTTTCTTTTTCTTGAACTTTAAAAAGGAAGTATCGTGCTAGATTCGCAAAGTTAGCAGGCTATATTTTCAATTTTGATTTTTTAATATTAAAAGTGCTTTTTTTTAATAAGGAACTATGAGCATTATTGGAATTGTCAGTATTTTTTTTTATATTGATAGAATGGCGCGCTAACTTTACAAGTACAACGACCGAGCGAGTCGAGTCGCGGACCACTCCTAGTTTTAGCATCTATATAAGCCACGTGTCGAGTTACTGCATCGTAGCACGCCACTTTCCTATTTCCACTACTCCTCCTGTCCGATTTATCGCTAGACACAGCCGCGAGGTCGTTCACATGAAATTTGTAACGTCTGTCGCGATTTGCACACATTTGAAATGCGTCTCCGCTCTATTTCCTAAATAAGCTTTTTGTATTTTCGCAAATTTACTATTGCAAAGTTGTATTCGATTTGAACGCTCACATGTAAACTTCATTTTACACACGAAAAACGATAGTTATATCCAGATAGTTATATCATTTTAAATAAAAAATAATTTTGTTAATCAAATGACACTGTTAATGAAACAAATATGTCATGTTTTTGTTTTAATAAAATTTTATTTGTTCCATTAGTACTGTTATTATATATATAAATCAACACGATTATTTTAAATTAAAATAATACTGTTGCTACATCATTTTTTTTTATGTATCTTTACTATTCATTATTTGCGGAAAGAAGATAGAGTGAAGCTTACAACACCTAAAGCGAACGACAAGAATCGTGAAAAGAAATTCATCGAAACGATATCGAGACGATAGAAACGTGGAGAACATTCGAAAGATTCTTTTTTTTTCCCCTTGCCTCAACGGCGTCTTAACAGAGAGTCTTAACGAACAAGTTATCGCCATGACTTCCAATTCACAGTGACAAACCTCGGGTCTTAAGTGACTCCTCCAGGGAACGTCGCTGCTGCGTATCGATATTCAGCGCACTAAAGGCAAACCTTGCATTTTGTAATTCGCATCGTAACGCGCAACGCACAAAGGGGGTAAATCCACCCTCGATACGCGGAAAGGGTTACGCGAGATAGAGAAAGAAGGAGAGAGAGCAGGGCAATTGTTACGGGGCCACGGTTGCCATGGGAGGACTCGGAGGGTGTTTCAAGAGCTTCCAGCGGTTTACAATGGTGCCCTGGTTCCTCCAGGCTCCCCTGTCCCCTCTTTCGTTCACCCTTCTCTGTTGCTGCACGGCAATACGTGCACACACACGCTCACATGAGATCGATCTCCCTCGAGTTACCTAACGGCTCTCGTTAGGCCGGCCGGTCGGCCGGCCGGCAAAGTTGAGAGAACCGGTATTATTGAAAAACTGGAACCAGCAGCCGCCGCCAGTTCGTCGACGAAACACGCTCGAGAACGGCCACGGAGAGCCTTATTGCGCAACAACTTAAACCGATAAAAGAGTGTAACGCAAAAATATTACACGCCTTACATTTGTGCATTCTAATGTCGCTGCGTAAAGTGCGAAGGATATAGGAATGTATATAGCGTGTTAAAAAGCCTTCATTTAAATATTAATTCAATAATTCAATTGCATGTGATATTTAGATATTATCGATGATAACAGTATTATGTATGAAGCAAAATTGTTCCTCAATCACAGTTATGATTAATTTTATGACCGCGACAAATGACCCCGCGCATAAAAAGTCGAATGAATAACCGCTCGAATTTTTCTTGTCAATAATAACAGCAATAATTACGAATAATGTAGTACAGCGAATAACGTCATCAAATTTGTATCAAGAACGTATCGCAGATATTAATTAGCCGCGTCATTAACTGCTTTAATTGTCAGTCAGAATCGTGGCAGATTTTCTAACAAGACTACAGTTGGGACAACCGGATGGTTCTATCACAAGATAAGTTATTTTAAACTTGGCAAAAACATATCCTAGTTCAGAGGGGAGAGCCGAATAGTTGCTTTACCAGTTATCCTTTCTTTTTCGGTTCCCGCAAACAAGCATCAAAATGGCAGGCAATTTGGAGGTCGAGGCCAGGTCTTAGGTCAAATTTTGTTAGGCATTACGGAATGGAGGTTAAAACGTGCATCACTTATGGAGCCTTCTCCCTCAAGACAGCTTTCTGTTACATAATAGATCGAAGGCAGATATTTTATTGACGGAAATTATATTGAAAGTTCGTTATTTATTGTATTAACGTGTAAAAATTAGAAGCTGAACAAATTGATATCTCTTTTATAATTAACGCAAACTGCATAATTTTCTATAAAATTAATTTATATAATAATATTCGTTCATTGATACAAAAGTTACGTCTACATTAGTATTTAATATTTCAATTGATAATAATTAAATAATTAAAATAACACAATCAAATATAAAAATAGCTATATTTTTATATTTTATGTTTTAAAAAAATGTTTTTTCAATTTTATTTTTTTAGATATAAAATTCGCGAGCAAATTATGCATTACATTTTTTAAATATAATTACACTCTGTACAATTCCAAAATAATGATTCACTCTCTTTCAATCTCATTGTACCTGTAATAAAAACGGATAAGGAAAATCAATTGAGCGAGATCAGCGCTAAATAAACTAAATAAACGTTTGCATAAACAGATCGCGTCCATTGGATTAATTTATAATGACAACTTCGATATTAATGATATCCTTTATCTTTTTCCGGATTATTTGTGCTATCTGTGACAACACTACAGGTAGACAAGTTAATCAGGGTTGACGTTAATTGATTCGCGCAAGAAGATTTTACGCGGTGAGTAGCGAGTCAAGGGAAAAACATAAGAGAGTAAAAGTATTCTTTAACACCGGTATATATAAACATATACGCAAGTACGTATATACGTATGTCTGTACGTGCGCGCGCAAAAAGACACATACACGCTACTTGGATTGCTCGAGTATTGATTTCTCTGCGTATTTAGGGTAGGACGACAGTGTTACAGGATGAGACGCGAAAGGATTCGCCAGGGGCGTAGCTCTTATGCCTGATTTACGCCTGGAAAGGACTGCCTCTCCCAGTTGAATTTAATGAATTCCTACGACAAGATTAAATCTAATCGATACTCGCTTAATTCAGCTTTTTGTACCTTATTCAAAACACATATATGCATTGATGATGAAAATATTAAATTGTGCGTATAATTAAATCTATGTTTAATTATATGCTAAATTAATACGTTCCATCGTTGCATAATAAAAAATAGTAATAATTTGCTTTTTTCGCTTACAAAAAAACAATTAAAAAGATTCCTGCTCTGTCAGTATAATGTTGCGTGACATGTTTGTGAATGTAGCAATCGTTAACGATTTATCACTTCCTGAAGATCCAGTCCATTCCACTTGCAAAGCAACACGTCGTAATTCAAACGTTCCGTAAGCGAAATTCTCAATGTATCAAAAAGTGTGTGTGTGTGTGTGTGTGTGTGTGCGTGCGTGCGTGAGTGCGTGCGTACTTGTGTGTATAAATCATTAATTACTTACCTTAATATGATAGGAGTTAAGCTTGGTGCGAGGCAGACTGTTGAAAGCGCTGAAATCCAGACGACGCGAAAAAATGCCGTTGGCGCCGCAGCTTTGTCTGCAAATAGATAAAAACAAAGTTTTACGTAGCGATAAAAACCAGGATACATTATACATGTTGTATTACGTTGAAAAAAATTACTAAACTTTAATGTACATTTCTTTGAATAGTGTTAAGTAAACATTTACAGTAAATAAATATTTGTTCAATAACTATTCAAATATTTATTAAAATATAGTATTTTTTTTAATGTATCTATGTAGTTTTGAAGTGTATCTATGTCGTTTTAAATATACATTGCATGTATTGTAGTTTCATATTAACCTGGGAGTAGGCGTATCTTGAAATTAACATTAGAATAGGCGCGTCCTTGGTCATTTTGACCGAACTATATTTTCACACATATACGTGTTATATAACTAGAATACATATACATACGATTATAATTATTACAAGTAATAATTAATAAGAAAACGTTCTGATAATGTTTTATATTAATCAATTAAAAACAAAGAAACGTAATAGTTACTGGAAATAATTGTATTTATATGATATATCTTTATT